TTCATTCGTGGTAAGATCAGAAATAACTCGAATCCCACTTTATCATTTGAAACGCCATCCAATATATTTTTTCTACTGCTATAACAAGAAAAAAATGCTCTTGTTTTACCGTCTTCGATAAATCAATGAGATAATTTGTATGTCATCAATTTCACTCCCGTATCTGATATCACATAACTTCATTATTTCATTATGTCACAATATCTCAAATTTCAAGCAATGACAGCTCTGTCTGATAGATGAGCAATACTTTAGAGGAAATAAGATGGCTACAAGCCGAAGAAATGGAAAATCTCGTTGTTATCTGTAGCCGTAGCAATAGTATAGTATATAACTCGCATGGAATGCTGGTTTCCCATTCGTATGATTTGCAAACTTCATTCTCCTGGGAAATGACTATCATTCCGTGCTCGTTAAACAATATACTATTTTCAGTTATTGTATTGAATTTCGCTTGAAATAATTTTATATATCACCTTCAAGATGATAGAGTGATCGATAATTGAAATTTCAAAATGAATGAGTTGCAGTATAAGCTACGAGCATTGCGTACCTTTGATTTCCACTCACATAGTTCGAAATCTGTCTTCACCTTATTTTTACTTCCAGCAGCTTTTGAATTATACAAGCCAAACTGAAGTCTATACAAGACTTTGTACCTATTCAATACTTCATTTGTTATCTCAATTGACATTTTCTTCATCATATTGATAAATCACATAATGCTATATCGTTGAAAAGCTGTTCTTGATTAGGATTGGAAAAACTGGAAGAATAAATCAGGGTGCTATACCGGGTGGGTCACGGTCGATGGCACCTTAGACGTTTACGGAGAACGGGACATAAGATCATTCTGAAAATTTGGTTACTCAAGTAATTGCTGTTGATCTATCGTTCTAAAATATTTTCAGCTCTGCGGCGTTGCCGCTTCTATCGAAAAGTAGCAACAACTTTGTTATTTTAAATGGAACACCCTGTATTTTATCGCATTTTCAGATTCTCTCTGGAGAGCTGATTTCATCGATGTATCACACTTGGGGTCTAGCGGAAATGAATACAGAGATATAGGGTGTGAAAAATCGACATTTTTCAACTTTAGGAATTTTTTTTGTCGAAACTATTCATTATTGGTCAAAACGGCTCACATGTCCCTATCCCAACTTTTGATCAACTATCTACTGACATTTAATTGAAACATATACAGGGTGGTTCAGAATTCAGATTCTTGATCACCCGGTATATGTCCCAATTAAATATCAGTAGATAGTTAATAAAAAGTTGAGATAGGGACATGTGAGCCGTTTTGACCAATAATGAATAGTTTCGACAAAAAAAATTCCTCAAGTTGAAAAATGTCGATTTTTCACACCCTATATCTCTGTAATCATTTCCGCTAGACCCCAAGTGTGATATATCGATGAAATCATCTCTTCAGAGAGAATCTGAAGATGCAATAAAATACAGGGTGTTTCATTTAAAATAACAAAGTTGTTGCTACTTTTCGATAGAAGCGGCAACGCCGCAGAGCTGAAAATATTTTAGATCGATAGATCAAGAGCAATTACTTGAGTAACCAAATTTTCAGAATGATCTTATGTCCCGTTCTCCGTGAACGTCTAAGGTGCCATCTATCGTGACCCACCCTGTATATATTTGAAAAAAGTAAGATTTGATTGAGATTTTGATTGCTGCAAATCATGATACTTATCTGGAATATTTTTCACGATTTAATCTAAGCTCAAGTTTTCTCTATATAACAAAATACAGGGTGGCACAGAAAACATGTTTTCGAATAAGCATATGGAAATTTAGATCGCAAATAACTGCGTAATCGTTTGAAATAACCCAAACAAACCCGGTATCAATGAATTCGTTATAACAATCCCTAACCGATTATGGAATACAATACAGGGTGTCCCATTTCAAAATCAAAAGTTCCAGTAAAACCCTATCTCGAATAAAAGTTACAGCCCTGGTCTTTTTTGTGCCCTTCTCTGTATAAAGAAATACATTTAGAATTCGCAATCTCTATGTGATGAAACTGTCAATTCTTTCTCGGATTATTCAACAGAAAACAACTACTTCCAATTCAGAATTTTTTTCCACGTCGTGTATGATAAATATCAAGTCATACATCCAAAAAGCATTGAAAACGTTGTCCAATCAAAGAGTGTTTGTTCATTCAAGGATATTCGAAGTGTCACTTATCATATGGTGGAGTTCTAAAGCTCGAGGATGCAATGATATACAGGGTGAAACCGGAGTGGAAAAAATTCAAGGTTGATCTTGTAGGTGAAATATATATATATATATAAAATACTAGTGATTTAGAAACAAACACTGTGGTTCAATTCTTCATAGGGTTGCAGTCAAAATTTTAGGCATCAAATAAGTGAACTCTTCGTTATTTAGCCGAGCTTTCGGAAATGTTTATTTCCTTTTTCAAGACATCTATAAGAAAAATGGTATGCATAAAAAACAATATCAAACTCATAAGAAACTAAGTACTTACTTAACATGAGATTGGTTTAAAGTTGGAACAATTAAAGAACAGACGATTCATTTGCTGAATTTGTTACACAAACTGGAATACATTAGGATTTGTAAAACGTAGAAAACAATTTAAAAAACAGTAAACCACCGGTGCTTTTTCATAGTCGACTTCGATATCTCCACAAGATGGAAGCTAACAAACGGCCACAGATGATACAAATAATACGGAAAGAGCCGAATCGATTTCGATATCGATTACGAAAAGGTACGGATGGTGGGAAATTTGAATTGATAATTGGGTGGTGAGCCAACTTATTATTTTTTTTTTTCCAAATTGTTTTCTACGTTTTACAAATCCTAATGTATTCCAGTTTGTGTAACAAATTCAGCAAATGAATCGTCTGTTCTTTAATTGTTCCAACTTTAAACCAATCTCATGTTAAGTAAGTACTTAGTTTCTTATGAGTTTGATGTTGTTTTTTATGCATACCATTTTTCTTATAGATGTCTTGAAAAAGGAAATAAACATTTCCGAAAGCTCGGCTAAATAACGAAGAGTTCACTTATTTGATGCCTAAAATTTTGACTGCAACCCTATGAAGAATTGAACCACAGTGTTTGTTTCTAAATCACTATGTAGTATTTTACCTCAACTAGTCAGTCATAGACTACCCTTCTCTTAAACTATATATATATATATATATATCAAACTTTATTAGCACACAGTGCTCTTCATTACAGTTAAATCTACAATAAAATACAATAAGTCAATAAATAAAAACATAGAAATATGGAACTAAGACACAGACACATGAATTACGTCACATATTTTAATATAAGGGTAATTAACAGATTTCTCCTTTCTCAATTGATCAATCAATAATTTTCTTTCACAAATAACACACACGATTCTTTAAAACTATCTAGTGACACACATCTTTTCATTTCACAGGGCAAATTATTGAACAATACCAGACCTTTTGTATATAAAGTATCACAGACAATATTTACTGAATTTATATAGAAATCATTCGCTGCTTGTCTTCTGGTATTGTGACAATGTACATACATCTTGAACATAATTTAGCTCACTTGATAAATACAAAGGCAACATGTTATTTTTCAATTTATAAACAAAAATAAGTGTATTATATGAAATTCTTTGCTTGATATTCATTAATTGCAATGTGTTCAGCATTGTTGTGACTGGTGTGCGTCTTTTACAACCCAAGATAGCTCTTATTGCACGATTTTGGACTTTTTGTAGTGTATTAATCTGTTCGTTACTCAAGAAACTCAGTAAAGTACCACAATAATCAATATGAGGTGAAATTATTGACTTGTAAATTGTTAATTTCGTGAAATGAGATACTTTATCACCAAGCCTGTACATGAAATCTATTTTTCGCGCAATTTTCTTTTTAATGTATTCACAATGGCTGTTAAAATTCAGTTGATAATCAATGATCACTCCCAAATACTTGAACATTTTCACTTCTTCAATGATTTCTCCGTTTATCAGAATATTGAATTTTATTTTATTTTCCTGGATAATTTTTGAATTTGCTTTCGAAGATATAATCATGAATTTCGTCTTTGTTACATTAATTTTGAGTCCATTGTCACAGATCCAGGTGAAAATATTCTCAAGATCTTCATTCAAGAATTTCTCCACATCCTCTTTCTTGCCAGAGAAGTTAAAGCAAGGTATCATCCGCAAATAGTTTCAGCTTACAATTCTGGACGTGATGTATAAAGTCATTCATGAATAAAATAAATAATATTGGTCCCAGTACCGATCCTTGTGGTACTCCATGCATGACCTTTTCCCTATTTGAGTAAATGTTATTGTATTTAACAAGTTGTTCTCTATTCTGTAGATAGCTCTGAAACCATTCGAGAACCTTTCCGCCTATTCCATATTTGTTCAATTTCTTCAAAAGTAAATCTCTATTTATCGTTTCAAATGCCCTCTGTAAGTCCAAGAAAACCACCCCGATGATTTTCTTATCATGAATATCAACTTTCCATTTGGATATCAAAAACTGAAGAGCCGTTTCACACGAGTGACATTTCCTAAAACCGGATTGTTGTTCGATAAGTATTTCATTTGAACTGATGAATTCAAAAGTTGATCTTTGACGGCAAGCTCCAACAATTTTTCAATTATTGGTAATGTATTGATTGGGCGATGTTCAGCTGCAAATTGTGTATTAGGTACTTTTGGAATCGGAATCACTGTAGATATTTTCCATACATCAGGAAATAGTCATCCAAGATTTGGATTCTAGAACATCAAGTCCGCCCAATTTCTCCACGAGATGGAGTCAACCGCAATTCTCAACCTAGGTGATAGATGACCGAAAGAGTAGCGAACTTTCCAGAGCCCATTTTATTTATTGCTCATTTCATGCAATCGGCCCTTCAACCCCCACCCCTTCAATTCGCCAAAGCCGCTTTGATGAATGTTCGGCCATGTATTACCGGAGTCATTGCATCCCGAGGACAGCTTTATTGGCGGCATCGGCAGTATCTCTGTCTCCTTCTAACTCGCTGTCGCCGCTCGATTTTGAGGCCGTTTTTGCGTTCGGCATATCGAACGGATGCGATTGCGGGATAATTAACGAGAACGATCTGGTACGGCGAGGGATTGCGTAATTAGTGGCTCTCTCCGATTATATGAGAATCAGAAGTGGGATTTTTGTGAATCAGAAGTGGGATTATTGTTTGGGAAATCAGAAGTGGGATTATTGTTAGGGAAATCAGGAGTGGGATTTCATTTATCAATAGGGGATACTGTGAAATCAGAAGTGGGCTGGAATATTCAAACAGTGTATCATGCTTCACGTGTGACACCCACTAAACATGGAGACATAACTTGAACATTATTGTTATATTACATTGTTACTTTGTGAAGTTTTTTAGAGGAACGCCCAATGTCACAAAAATGTTGCGGGAATAAGCCTTTGTGCCTCTTGTAAATATCACAACATATGATGATGGATAATATCATATGAATATATCAAGAATTACATAGAATCAATGTTGCTTTATAACGCATATTAAATATTACTCAAAACATCTGAACAAAATTGTATATCAACAATCTAATTATTTTCCATGAGTTTTTAGGTTATGTCTATTTTTTCTGGAATCATCAAGAAAATCATCTGAATGATCTTCAGGAAAGACAGAGAAGAATATCTATCCCTGAATATAAGTAACTGTGTCAATGAATTGATCTTGCCGTACTCTTTGAATACTATAGGAATGATCTAGTTACACAGTGATATTTTGAGAAATATTAATCACTATCGTTGTTAGTATCATTTTAAATACTGTCTGTAGGTTAATCGAGGAGATGGTACATCCATTATTCCAGATATATAGAAAAAATATCAGATTTTTACTTTTCTTTGGACATTTTGGGAACGAATCTGCTTTCGTTTTCAACATAAAAAATGTTGCCGCCGGTTAACCCCTACGCTAGGTTAGTATGCTTTTCAATCGTCTCGAGCCAATATTTATATTCTATCGTCTGACCGGCACTGGGAGTACGTTACCAATCATTTATTGCGCCATCTATCGACATTGGTTTGAGACTGATATGAGGTATATATTGGAATGCTGAAATCGATGTGTATCTTCAAAACAATATGTTACCGATATGCAATTGAACATGGAAATATAATATTGTTTTTTTTTATGACCGACATGGAGAAAAATATTGAATTGTCGATATAGATATTCATCTTTGAAACAATATGCATTTGATATCTTCCGCATGATGTAGATGAAATGATATTAATCAATATAGGTACGTGCGATGTTCCACGGATATTATAGGACTTTCCTTCCGGGCGTTTCAAGAGATTGGAAACGAAAAAATGATGATCGAATATTGTTGAAACTATATTCAACCAATGTGCCGTCGAATTCGAATATACAATATCGCATAGCCGCGTCAGAGTCGACATGCGGAGAATATTGGTTATAATTGCAGGAAACAATATGTATACGATGTAGTTGTACCGACGTTTGTGAATATCATATAATATTTATATATATGTTTTCTACATATTGTAAACGAACTTTCCAACAAATATTGCTTCAATATTGTAGTTGACAACCCACATTTAGCTCAGGTTGAACCAATATTTCACCAATATTAATATCATTCCTATATTGTTTTTCCAATATACTTCCATATTGGACCAATCAGGATTCAGTTAATTTGATGTGCTATCTGGGTAAAATCAACTGAATCAAGGCCTAAGATTCACGTGATCAGAAAAATTCTGTACTCAACTCATCCCTTGAAGTCTTCAACAGGCTTTCAGACCTCGCCTTCGGCTGTGGGTTTGAATTTGCCAACACGTCATGTAGATCCATCCCTTGGTAGAAGGGGATCGAAAGCATCATCAAGATTCATGCCCTGGAGACTACATCAGTCATGCATATAGGCCATAGGAAAACTGTATTCAACAAAAACTGTTGAATCGATTCACTATAGTTGTGGTTAATTCAGCAAAACTTCGGATTGTTTGTTTCCTGCTATGGGTTGAGGAATAGGACAAGTTGAAAAAAGTACATTTATTGACAAGCACTTTCCTGAAACGAGATCTTTTGACAAATCTGACGATATTGATTTTTTTACGATTGGATCAAATATATGAACATGAATTGAATATTACTAAGGAGGATACTGGATAATAATTCATATACTTTTGTCAAGTGTGCCATGAATAGCAATAGCATAATATTTGGCAGTCATTTTCATCGAGTAGTCGACTCACTTAGTTGATGACAGTGATATACGATTGATGAGCAAACAGAGAGAGTTAAATTCCATGAAATATTGGAAGTGACTAAAAAAAATGGAGTAGGCGTTCAAACTTGGAAATGTCGCATTATGATTCTAAAATTCCGCATTCTGATTATGAAATAAGGCATTCTGATCCAGAATTGTCTCATGAATCAGAAAAATGTTACAATTCCGGGTAAACCAGAGATGACCGAAAAGAAAAAACTATGCAAAAAATATCCTCTTCATATATCTACCATTCACCTATACCGAATCTCATTTTGAAACATTCTATATTATTGAAGTTATGACTTGTCTAATAATTTCGTTGACTCCCAGTATAGGGTGTTTCAATTGAAGAAATTGTCGAGGATGAAATTATTCAAACGTGGGTCACCCAGTGTATTTATTTTTCTCTTATAAATGTGGCAAATTCAATTTTTTCTGCTTGGCATGAATAAGGAAAGTAGTTGTTTATGTTTCCTTGTCAATTACTATTGTTCATTTTATTGGACATTTTGAGAAGATCACTCTGAATACAATCTCAATTGTGGACGTATTTATTCATGTAATATCAGCCGTTCCTCAAATTTGTCTATTTTACGAAAAATAAACATCTGCGAGAATTGTCAACACAAAAAAACGAATCCATGAAATCAAGATTCTCACAATCACATTTCTTACTAAACCACTTCGATGTCCCATCGTCTCGGTATCGAATTCCACCCGTTGTATGAATGATTTATTCAGCTCGATAATCGTTATTTGGGTCTAATCCTCCAAAGATACGGAATCTATCGAGCTGCACTGAGCTGCACTGAGCTGCACTCGACTTCCTGATTGAATCCCCTCAAATGCGAGCCATCTAGTGTGGATCGGCGACCGCCACTTCTGTTTAGAACTGACGATGTCGTCGAATACCAACCGATTCTATATACAAGACGATGCCCGAAAGCGATTCGAAAGAAGTTTCATGGCCCATGAATGAGATTCTTGAAGATCTTGCAATTCAGAAATGAAATCCTCCAGAAATCTATGCAATAAATCGTATAGACGAATAAAACCGTTAGTGTTTTCTTCCAAAACGTCGAGCTGCGCCTAAGTGGTTCAGGAACGAGTAGCTACCAACAGACCAGTTTCGAGCTCTTGGCTCTCATCAGTGCAGGGCTGTCCCAGATAGCTTCTTGACCGCTACCTTGGGCGGACCTGACCCAACGTAAACGCTTCTCAGCATTAATACCACCCGAAGCGTTCAACGTCCGCGAAATGAACGCGAACGCCACCTGGCAAAGAAAGGAACACTTCAAAACAAGATCCCATCTCAGGTGAAATGGAAGTGGCTGGTTGCCCGACTGGCGTATTTTCAACTAGAAAAAGCCAAATACTCAAAGTGGAATGCAATGGTTACAAAGAGAGAGAAACTCGTGGGGTATGAATGCTGAGATACGTTCACGTTGGGCCGGGTTCGCATTAGATAGCGGTCGAGAATGCTATCTGGGACAGCCCTGCACTAATGAGAGCCAAAAGCTCGAAATCAGTCTGTAGGTAATCACGCGTTACTGAACCATTTAGGCGCAGCTGGACGTTTAGGAAGGAGACACGTACGATTTTAGTCGTCTATAAGAATTATCGCATAGATATCGGGAGGATGTAATTCAATTCTGCGTTGCATATATAGCCAGGAAAGTTTTAGTTGTTTTTCTCTCGTTATCTATCATTTCCGTTCATTTTATGAACTGTTGTGATGATTACTTTGGGTTTCTCTCTGTTTGTGACTACTCACAATCCTTCATTCTTGTTTACATCTCGCAGCGCCCTCATCGGTAGTTGGAATCGCGAATAGGGTGGTCTTCAATAAAATCATGAAACTCCGAATAATTACAATACATCTACAAGAACGATGAAGTTGGCTTCAAGAGTAAAAATTGTTCATTCGAAGCTTCGATCACGAATCATTGACAATGAAGTGATCGAAAGAAACTAGGGTTATATTAAAATGCAAACGACATAGGTATTATTAGCAATATTTTCCTACCAGATTTTTTATTCAGAAATAGGTATTTCTTTTAAGTAAAAACACAATATCCTCAACTTTAGATCAGCTCATTACATTGCTCCTAACCATAACAAGTCTGGATTCTATATCCTGTAGTCAGTAGTGAAACTTTCAGTAACTTGACTATACAGTACTAACTGTATCAATCAAATCAATCAAAATATGCTTTATTGTCGGAAGATTGGTATCTTATTGACAAAGTCTTGTATAAAAAAACAAAATATCAGATATGTATAAATATAAAACACATGTCACAAAACAATTAATAAATGGGTGAAATTAAATTAAATAAAATAAACATAAAATACATTCACATCTGCAGAAAAGTCAAGTTATAATTTCCAGGTTATCACAGTAGAATTCACTGATTGAATAATAAGCCTTTTCGATTAATATATCTTTAATCGAACTTCGGAACTTTTTGATATCTGTAATATTTGTTAGATTAGTAGGAAGGTGATTGTATACTTTAATACTTTCATAAATCAGAGAATGTTTAGTCAAAGCAAATTTTGGAATGGGTAGATGAAGCATATGGTTCTGTCTAGTACTATGACAATTTGTTCCGGGAGTGTACATGCTAGTTTTATTTTTATGAATTGAGCATACTGTTTCCATTATGTATAAACAGGTGACAGTTAATATTTTGTGGCTGATGAATAAAGGCTTGCAGTGATCTCTGGATTTAGACTTTGTAAGGTATCTCAATGACCTCTTCTGAAGAGCAAATATCG